CAGCCTCAAATTCCCAGCCTTGAGACACAGACTGACTTGGACACCAATAAAAGTGATCAGAGCTGCTTATGCACTCTGCAAACAAAGCAGTGGCTCTGTAGCTCCTTTTAAAACTCTGTCAAGTCCATTTTATGGTGACTGAGGCCAGACTCACACACAGCAAAGCACATCACACCCTCTACAGTAAAGGAGAGCACCACAGCTCCCACCTCACAGCTACAGGAGCCCAGTCCTGCTGCCCCATCCCAGCTTCACCCCACAACTGCCCAGGGGAAAATATTTCCCTTTAATTGGAGCAAGGTCAGAGTCCAGCTGCCTGCACTGCCAGGAAGGGCAGCACATCACCTGCCTTCCCAGGACTCCGGGCACAGCATTAGCTGGAATTATGAGCCCTCAGCAAGGCCCCATTGATTTGTGTACTTCCATTTATTAACAAAGCATCAGGAAATATCAGGGGCTGATGAAACACAACGTGATTATTACACTGATACACAGGGATCAGCCCCAAGCACATGTGCACAGGGAAGGGATAACACACTGCAGCCTCAGCCCTGTTCTGTCACCATTAAGTGATGAGAACATGGAGACAGTATCAGCCTCAGATGTTCAAGCATTTGCTTACTCATATTAATATTTAAATACTGACAAAGTACTCCATAAGTTGCTTCTACACCAAAGGTCAGATGAACTCAAACCAGATAAACCATGGAGCTTATCTGTGTCATTATGTCTGCAAATCAGCTCAGGGTATTGAACTCACAGGCACTCACTAAACCTCCACTCTTTTAAATATTTTTAATTGCCACATTCCAAAGTGATAAAGCATTGAAACTCTCTTCTACAGAGCCTGAAAATTACAATGCACCTGTAAAGAGGCTGCACCACGAAGCTTTTCCTGGACCACAAATTGCCTGCTGTGTTCCTTCAGCATCAACCCCAAACATCACTGGAACAAACACCTAATTTCAGTTAACTAAATGCAAACGAATCACAAAGGGGTTTTTCCAAGGAGCACACACATCAGCAGGAGCCTCAATAAAGGTTCCTGGAACCAAAGGCGCTGTGAAAAACAACCCCAGCCCGGCCAGGAATGCCACTGGAATATTGCAGTGCTGTGGGTTCTCCAAGGTGCCACCACAGAGTCACCCCAGGCTGCCCGAGGGAGGCACAGGGACTGCTCTGGCCAAGAGCAGCAAGGCTGGAAAAACCCTCCTGCTGCCTCCCAGCACTGGGAGCAGTGGCTCCCAAACTGCTCTGCCTTTGCACGGGGCAGTGGTGACAAACACCCCAAAAATCTCCCTCGTGTACAAACCACCCTGTGCCACCAGCAGCACGGGGCTTGTCTGTGCTTTCAGAAGTGATCTTCAATCTTTAAAGGCTTAAAATTATCACATATCTATTTTTTATTTCGTTCCTTCAGTTACCAATGTGTGTTTGGCAGCACACTGGGGCTACAAAGCATTTTTAACACATTTCTGCTGCACGTACAAAGAGATAGTGCTGCTGATGAATTAGCAAATTCAAACAGTATTCTTCATTCCCCTAATAAAATGGGTCAGACCAGAACAAGAGGTGGTACCTGCCCTCTCTGGTGCTGACAGGGCAGGAGTGGATGTGTAATTGCGTGCTGGGTCACCCCACAAAGCTCCACTCCTTCCCTAGAGGAAAACTCATCCATTTAACAGAGCTGGGCAGCCTCCATGGGCAAAAAAACTGTTGACACAACCCTGAACAAGTTCAGCTGTCACTAACTACAGAGCCTGTGCAGATATTAATTTAATAATCACAGATTATCATAGCAGGGTAAGTGCTCAGGTGTCCACCTTTGTTCCTTGCACAATGGTTCCCACTAATTATAGACGAGGTTCGGGTTCTCTTAATTAAACAAAACCCAGCATCACTTTTCCCAGAGGAGAAAGGATTGGTAGAAGCTTTCACATGGTTTTATATCTGCTCATTGCCACCACGTGCAGGTGATTCCCATCTCTTGCAGGTGATTCCCATCTTTTGCAGGTGATTCCCATCTCAGGCAGCACTGCTGGTTTCTGAACCACCTGTGGGTCTCACACCAGCTCCACCTCACACCTTGGGATGCAACAATTCCAGAGGAAAAAAGACCTGCTGCTGCTCAGTGGCAGCTCTGCTCAAAGCACTGCCAGGAATCCCGTGTTTCCCAGGAATTCCAGGAGCCCCCTTCCCTAAATTCCAGGCCCCATCACAAAGGGCAGAAAGGTTAAAACCCCACAGTAATGAGATAACACAGCTCAGGTTTAACAGAACACCCCCACAGCTACTTCCCAAGCGTTACAGAAACAAGGAAGCACCTCCTCCCCTGCAGAGGCCACAGTCAGAACCTCACCACTGAAAGTCCATTTGCAAAGGTCTGAACCAAAAGTAACGTTGTGGAACAACAAACCAAACTTTCCCCAACCACCTTCTCAAGAGAAGCCCAGCAGTGAGCATTTCATTTGTACAGACAGCTGCACACACAACTTCTGCCTCTGCTGGGAGAGCACGTTTCCTAAACACAAACCAGGTCACAAACTCACATTTATAGTACCAGGATGTATTTTGGAACCTCAGAAACACGGGCAGTGTGTGCTGCTGTGGGCACCCAGTGGGACTGACTACATTAATTAAAGTCTTTTCTGTAACTGCTGGTGAAAGAGGCATCACCTCTGACCTCATGGCTTTGTGCTCCACAGAGTCTCACATTAAAGCTTCCAGCCTACACTCCTGCTAAAGACAAGCATTTGTCTCACTATTCAGAGCACTGAACAGGCTGCTCAGATGATTTTCCAAGCACCATCAGCCAGCTGGAGTTGGCAAAACCAGGTAATTTCATTTCAGGCAAAACGTTCGGGATAATTGTGGAATTGTTAATAACTATTGCTTTTGCTTTTTGTGGCTTCCCTCCATCAGGAGCCCAGTAATAAAGCCATTTCCAACAGATCTCCATCAGAAGGCACGTAATTACTCCCTTAACCTGGAGGAAGATTTCCAAAAGCAGCATGGATTAGGTTTCTCTCCACCCCCCAGGAAATAGCACTGGGTGGGGAGAGGAGAGAGGGATGAAGTTTCTCAAACAGGCAACTCTTTTACTCCCCTTTGAGCAGGATCTGTAAAGCTCCCGCTGGCAGGATTCCCACCCACTTCCCTCCTTCCCCAGCAGCAGAACAGAGACCCGGCTTCATCCCTTCATCCCCCTTCGGCCTCACTGTTAACACCCCCATCCGCGGGGATGGATTCTTTCCCCCCACATAGAAGGTTATAGGTTGGTATTTGATGAGCTGGTGGAGTGATCATGTAACCAAACTATGTAATAAACAGGGGAAATGAGTTTATCATGGATACAAAGCCCAGTTTTTAAAGGATCTCGCTGAAAGCTATTTCCCTTCACATATTTCAGAATAACTCCAGCTCTTAAAAGAATTAAAACTACTCAAACCTCCTTTGAAGACAAGGTTTGTTGAGCCCTCACCTATGGAAGTGAAAAATCTCCATGCCTACTCAAAACAAATACGGGTGCTGTCGGTCTTTGTTGAGACTTAATTATCGTGGGCTAATTTGAGAATGACAAACAGCTCTAAAAGTACAGGACAACTGATGAGCACAAGCCAGCGCCAGCCTACACATGACAAATCATCATAACTGCCTCGTGAATCACTGCCGTGCTCCGGGAATGCTCCGGAGCCGTCCCTGGCAGGGACCGCACTCAGCGCTTCCCAAACCTCAGCATCCACACCTCTTTCCAACGAGTTATTATTCGCAGGTAACAGCTTCGGATCCGAGGCAGATGCGCAGGAGGATTTTAAAGACGGCCAATATTTCAAAGGACAGCTGATAAAAAAGGCAGCGTCCCGCGTTCTCCTGCCCTTTTCCCGCTATCCCACGGTGCCAGCGGCAAGTTGGGCAAAGGAAGGCAGGGACGAGCTCTGCAGCGCAACTGCCACGGCGGATGCCCGGGGAGGAATCCACTGAACAGTCACAATTAAAGGTGATTTACCACACAAAGCGATTTCCCAGCACAGCTTTCTCCGGTTACAAAGACCTCCCCCACCAAAAGTCATCAGCAGGGGTGAGCGAAGTAAAAATAAAGCCCAGCAAAGCCAGTTAACAGCAGCCTGCATTTGGGAAGACATAGAGAACAAGGCACAGACAACTGCACCATCGCAAAGGTGCATTTCCAGAGGTTCTGCCTCGCCCAGGCCCAGCATTCCAGCCCGGATGATCAGGAATCACTGCTGTGCAGTGACCAGCTGCCCTGAGAGCTTTTTGCCCACTTTCTAAGCAAATCCTGCTTCCCAAACGCTCCGGTTTCCCGCGGAGCCGCTGCCCGTGCCGAGCACACACGGGAGCCCCCGGGCTGGCTGCCAGCCGGGGCTGCACCGGCTCCAGGGGCTCCCATGGAAAAGAGAGGTGTTAATTCCTGCCGGGGCCGGGCAGCAGAGCCCAAGGCAGCGCTAAGTGCGCTCGCACGCCCGTGTTCCGAGCCGGGGGTCACGCCGGGCGGCCGGAACGAGAGCCGGGGGCAGGGAATGTCATCCATCCCCTGGCTGCTGTGCCCCCTGCCCTGGCCCAGCCCACCGCGGGTCCCTGCCCCCCAACCCCCGCGGCCCCTGGGATCCTCCAGCGATCCCAGCCCACCAAACCCCGCTACCCACGGATCCGGGGGGCTCTGCCCCCCACGCTCCCTGCGCACAGCGGAGCCCCCGATGCCGGGGAGCCGGGACCCTCCGGCTGTGCCTTTCCATGAACCGGGAACCTCCTGCTTTGCCCCGCCAGGAGCCGGGACACCAGCACCTCCTCCCCGAGGAGCCGGGACCCTCCCGGGGAGACACGACCCCCGTGCTGTGCCCCTCTAAGAACCGGGACCCCCCGAGCTCTGCCCCTCCAAGAACCGGGAGCCCCGTGCTCAGCTCGCCCCGTGCTCTGCTCACCCCGACCCGGAACCCCTCCGCAGCCCCCCGGGTGTCCCGCCGCCCCCTCCCTGCACCCACCGCGCTGCCCCCAATGACGGCTTCGTGCTTCTTGAGGCGGGACTTGAGGCTCTTCATGTCGGGCCGGGGGCCCCGCTCGGCTCCGCTCCCGCTCCCGCCGCCGCCACGGCCGGACCGCGGCCCCGCCCACCCCCGCGCTGCCCCGCCCCGCGCCGGGCCCAGCCAATCGCCGCCCACCCGCGCGGGCCCCACGGCCAATCAGCGAGCGGGGCGGGCGGGGAGGGACTTCCTCGCTTGAAAGGGGAGCGGTGGGGGCGTGGCCCGGCACGGAGCCGCCCGGCCGGCAGGGGGCGCGCGGAGGGAGGGGCGGTGCTCTGGGCCGGGGCGGCCCCTCAGGGCACCACGGAGAGGGCGGGCGGGGAGTCGTGAGGGAGCGGGGCAAAAGGACCGGGATAACCACCGGGATAACCGCCGGGATAACGACCCGGAACGGTCGGGGCCCGGTGGACCTGGCCCCGGGAAGACCCCGCCTCCATCCGTCCGAGAACAGAGCTCCCGATATCTGCAGGAGGGTTTGGAGCCCTCATCCCCCTTAACGGCACTGATGTGCAAGAGAATAAAGGGATCGCACCAGAGCTGAGCAGAGGCAGCATATTAAACATCGCCATTCACTCCCAGCCTCAGCGTGTCCAAAGTGGAAGTTTCCATTCACTTTTGTTCATCCCAAGTCTCATTTACCATCACTTTCTCACCCCATTTTACTCACAGCCCTGTCATGCAGCACTGGCCACTCAAGGTTTTTAGACTTACTTGAGACTTACTTAATTCCAGCCCACGGGCTGTGTTTAAAACCTTGCTTATTACAGCTGGAACGGGGCTGTTCCACCAGTGTATCTCCAATATAAGTCAGTGTGGAGATAAATGTCACTGCTTTTTAATCAAACCATGCTCAAACACTTCGGTTTCTCTATTGGTGGCTTGTTTAGAGGGAAAGAGAGTGGTGTCTTTGAACACAAACTCTCATTTTGCGCACATCAGGGTGGCTGGGGAGCACCAGCGTGCTCCGAAATTAAACCCTTCTCAGAGGATCTGACTCCAGCCTAAACTCATCTGAAGGGATTAATCCCAGATCTGGGCTCTTGGGAGGCACATTCATGCCCTGAATGCCATTTAAAGTTTTTGGTGTTTTTCTCCCTAAAGAGCCGTGTTTCAGGCGGCCTCTGTCCCTTCAGGAGCCATCTCCATTCCATTCCCCCAGGGATCCCTCTGTGCTTCCCAGGCACCGACAGAACCTCCAGCACCTCCTCGGAGCAGCTCCGACAGCTCCGGACACCCCTGTCCCTCAGCCGGGCAGTCCCACATGGCTCTCGCAGCTGTCAGTCCCCTGGGAACCCCAATTCCCACTGCTCCGGGCTGGCACTGCCACCCTGGCACAGACAATCTGAGCTGCCTGGCACAGAGCAAAGCCACAGCAGCAGCAGTGGAGATCAGGATTCCCTGGTTGTTTTCTACCCTGACGACACAAGTGGTTTCCTTTGTTCTTTCCTTCCTATTTCCAAAGGTATTGGACAAGCGAATTCCTCGAGCGCACCCGAGGCACAGCACGTCACAGGGGTGTTTGCCCGGGGATGTGCACAAACACGAGACAGCAACGTTCACATCCACTCAGGAATCCATGGGAAAAGCCCAACCCCAGCACCAGCCTAACCTGGGGCAGATGAACTGGTTTGAGTTGTTTGGATCGGAACCATTGTCTGCCGAGTTGTCACAGAAAATAGTTGGTTCATTAAAAATAAGCTTTTATTACAAAAGTCTCAGCTTAACAACATGTTGTCTGATTCTCAGGCTCAAACTCACAGCAGTGGCTTTCTCCTCTTCCCACCAAATTTGTGCTGTTTAAAGGAAGCTCCTTCTGAGTCACCCCCCTACTGGGAAAGCAGAATCTTAAAAATAACTCCTTGCTCTCGAGTCAGTGCCGAGAATTGCACACAGCAGTTCCAAGTGCTCGGCCAATTCCAGAGCCAATTCCATTATCCCTGTCCCCAGATAATCACACACATCCATGTGTTTGCCCCAGCCAGCTGGGTCTCTGTGCAGTAAGAGGGTGGTATCTGCCTTGTGATCCAGCTCCCTTCCAACAGAGTCAATCCTGAGGGAAGCATGTCCCCACTGGCCATCTCCAGCCAGGGTAGAGCCATCGGCCAGCTCAGCTGGAGCAGAGCATTCCCATGTTTTTCCTGCTGTCAAAGCTGGAAGTTCCCTATCTGAACACCATCTTCCAGCCCTACCTGTCAGCACAAGAACAAGGTATTTCACATTAAATTCCCGGAGCCTGCCTGGTCTGTGTGAGTGGCACCCCGGCCCTGCAGCCTCAGGGAGCACAGATAACCCTCCTGGAGCTCCACCTCCAACTCTCCAGCCCAGGCCAGACCAGTGCAGTCTGGACAGATGTCCCTGTCTGGCCCTTCCCTGACCACGGTGCCAGAACTATTCCCTCATCCTGGACACATCTCCTACAGGCTCTTTATCCACACTTCTCACTTTGCTCTCCAAATAAATTCAGGCTGCTGCTGCTCAGACTGTTGGCATGTAGTTCCCACTACATCACCCCTCTCCACATCCCATTCCTTTCGCCTGTAAGCTAGAAATATAGAACCATGGAATCACAGACTGGTTGGGGTTGGAAGGGACCTTCAAGCTCATCCAGTCCCCCCTGCTGCCGTGGGCAGGGACACCTTCCACTATCCCAGGTTGCTCCAGGCCCCATCCAGCCTGGTCCCTGTGTTTGTTCCGCAGCGTGCTCTCGCCATCGCTCCATCCCTGGTTCTTGGCTCCTGTCCCCTCATTGTCTGCCCAGACGTTCTCCCAGCTCTCTTGGAAGTGAGACAAGCCAATACAAGCCAACGTGCCGTGGCTCATGTTTGCTGTGCGTGGGCACAAAGACCGGAGCGCAACCTGAGGGTGGTGAGATAAGGTCACTTCACACTTCCCAAACAGACACCTGGAGCTCCTGCTGGAGATTTGTTCCCCAGCCTCCTCAACTTCATGATTTCCTTCTCTCGATTTTCTCCTTCAACCCACGAGTGTCCTTGGAGCAGTGGCTGACGCTGCACATTTCCTGGTGCAGACTCAGGGTGCGGTGGCTGCTCATGCCTCGGCGATTCTGTGATCCCAGCAGCCGTGTCCGTGGGGATGGTGGGAGCTCTGGGCACGGCTGCCTGCACTGACACACACTTAGTGCCGTCCCAGCAACCAGAGCTGGGATCTATCTCAGCAAGCAGCTTATGCAGCTCCCAAACGATCACCCTCTGTCTGCTCACACGGTTCATTTTTGTGACAACCTTCGCTTGCAGCAGCACAACAAAGGGGCTGCTTATCCCGGCAGTGTTTGCGTGATAAGTGCCGAGTTAATGGCACACGAAATTTGCTGGCTGGTCCTCTGCAGGCCTGGGATCTAATTAATCTCTGGCAAGTCCCCCTGAAATAGAAGCAGTGTTGGCCTGCACATGTAGCAGTCGAGACCAACTAATTGGAGCCAAACTGTACAGCGAGACAGGAGGGAGGACTCGCTGCAGCACGGTGGGGGTTTTCACAGTCACAGTGCTGCAGCCCAAGTTTCTGCTCCATTGGAAGAGCACCATTTGTGCCATTCTCTTACCCCAGTCAGAGCTCAAGAAATATTTGAGTCAGATTCACAAACATCCTGCAGCCACACAGGAGCTGGCTGGGAAGCAATCTCCAGACAAATCACCCCGTGGCAACATCTGTCTCCAATAAGTCTTAACAAGCTTTGGTTCTCAGCAGTTTTATACAACAGAGAAGCGGATCAGCGTGAATATATTCCACTTTTCAAGGGGTTCCACTTATCAATCAGTTCATAATGGGCCATAAACATCAAACCTCAACACGACTGAAAGGGAAACACACTCTTCGCCTTCCATTTCCACCGGGGTCATTAAATTACCCAGCCACCTCCTGCATCACTGGCTGCCTTAATCATCTGGATAAATTAATCCCCATGCCAGTCACACACACAGAGGAAGATATAATTTTATCTCCCTTTGCTCTTAGACCCATGAAGAGTCACAGTCTTCATTACAAGGATATAGTAAGGCCTTGTTCTCTTGGGGTGTCTGACCCCCCACCTGTGCCCGAGGTCCCACTGGGGGCAGTGCCCCTGGCAGGGACACATCTCTGCCCGGTGCCTCCCTGACCCAACTCCCAGGATCACACCAGGCACTCCCGGGAGCAGCGATGCCCACACGGAGCACACACACAGCCACTGTCCCACCCCCAGCCCCTGGCTGGCTCCCTCCTTCCCTAGGGCAGCTCCTCCCCATCCCCAGGAGCACCAGCCAGGACCGCACAAACCTGCCCACTCATCTCCTGCCCCTGTGCTGGGACAGGGAGGGACACGGCTGCAGGGACCTACAAACAGGTGGGGGGAAGGCTTTAACAGCTCATAGCCAAAGCAATCCGCTGTCCAAGCTGTATAGAATGATGGAATTACAGAATTGCTGAGGTTGGAAAAGACCTCTGAGATCATCAGTTCCAACAGTCAACCCAGCACCACCACCACGTTCACACCAAACCTTGGCCTCAGGCGCCACATCCACACGTTTTTTGAGCACTTCCAGGGACGGTGATTCCAGCACTGCCCTGAGCAGCCTGTGCCAGGAATAACACTTTTTCATAATGTCCAACCTAAACCTCCCTTGGCACAACTTGAGGCCATTTCCTCTCGTCCTGTCGCCTGTTCCTGGGGAGAAGGGCCTGACCCCCCACCTCACTCCAACCTCCTTTCACTTGATGCCTTTCACCCCAATTTTAGTCTGAGTTCCCAGAAAGGGCGAAGGCAGGAAGCACATTGAGGCTCAGTGTCCATGCAAGCAGTGTTTGCACACTGTGCTCCTGGGCCTGCCTGGCCTGGCGCCAAGCCGGGCACAAACAAAGCGTGTGCCAGTCTCCTGGGAGCTGAACTCAGCCAGGGCTGTGCTGCCAACTTGGCTGCTCTCCCTGGCTCCTCACGGCCGCTCCGGAGCAGTGCCCAGCAGGCACAGGGAGCGCCCAGCCCTGCGCCCGGAGCGCAGTGCCCAGACCAGGCCTGGCACAGGCTCACGGGAGCTGCCAGTGTGCAGCGATGGGAATGGGAACAGGTGGGACACGACT